ATTGTCAAATAAGTCTATGGCTTTCCTGTTAAACAAGATTTTGGACTTCTTAACCACTTTGGTACCATGCTTACCGGCCGTAAAACCTTGCCCACAGCCGGCACTCACAGTCCGCACGATAGTTTGTGCTGTGCATTGACAACAAGTCCGTCTTGCGTGATGAGGAAAGCTTTAAAGCACTGAAAGCTTATTTTACTTTACAGGCAGCTTTAGGAAAATAACTGTAATAACTCCTACTAAGGACTTGTTAAAAAGTCACAGATTCGTAGTAACTTATTAGCTGAATGTACACACTGCAACTGCAGAGATAAAAGCAAAAGCTTTTGGCTGTTGGCTAAAGTCGACGCTCGCATTCATCTGTGGCTGTCCACTATAGTCGACGCTGGGCTGTGCGTGTTCATCTGTGGCTGACGACTATAGTTGATGCTGGTACCGAAATGGTTAAGGAGACCAACCATGCTTTTGTTGTTCACTATAGTATTTCAATAAATATTTGCTGATGTAGTGTCTTTCCTGCTTCCATTGGAACCCTTAAAAATGAATTGTAGCAGGTCAGAAAGGGATCAGATAAAACAGGAATTTAGTAAGTGTTGAGAATTGTAGATAGTTGAGGCTATGGGTACCACCTCTTTTAAGAGGGAAATTAAAACTACGCAGGCATTATAATTACCTGAATGTCACAGAACAAGCCTCTGCTTAGAGAAATTATTAAAGAGAATTGTATTATTGTATATTATATTATTCCTATACTTGTGGCAGAAAAGCTTTGAGCTGGGTAGAAAATAAAGTCTAATAATATTCAATTACAAGACTGCAAATAGATACTGGGTACACACTACAGTATACAGAACTAAGCCCTCACCTCAGTAGAAGTGAATTCTCTGCTGTGTGCTTCACACCTATCATTTCACTTAATTCTTATAACCAGCGTATGGGGTGGGCACTATCATTATCATCTTTTTAAAAAATATGGAAACTAAGACCTGAGGAAGTCAAACAACTCTCTCAAGGTCACATACCCCAAAGTCCGAGGCAGGATGGGGTTCAAATCCAGGACTCTGTGGCTGCAGAGCTAAAGTCCTCAGCCCTGCACCATGCTGTCAGGCAAGGCGCTGGGCATAGGGTACCTGTGTTCTCGACCTAGAAATCTATTTTCTAAATAAAGGAATGCTCCTCTGCATCCAGTCTGTAAAGTGAGAGAGTCATTCCAGGCAGAAGGAAGCTATGTCTACGTTCGTTATTTTCACAGATACAGAATGTGGCTTTAAAAAGCTAACTACAATTCTACAGGAATACAATTTTTTTGTGTAATTTTGTTCAGTGCCTGAAAAATATCAGTAGGTGAAAAAAATGAGGGCAACAACGTCCATAGAAGGTGACCTGGAAAAAAGAATGCCTTTCTATTATTGCTCTGAGTTTGCCAGCCCCCAAAATGCCAATGCTATGTAATAAAGAAATGTGACAATTTTTCTTAAAATTGATTTCTATTATAGAAGGACATCCATGTGACTTTCAGAATAATCCTGATGGATATGATACTACATATTAGAAATATATATAATATTTAAATATTTAATAATGTTATTTAAATTATATTTTAATAATATACATATTATTTGAAAATATATAGATAAACACACACACATAGACAAAACTAACTGAAGAAAAGAGTTATGCCAGGAAAATGTCAAGAAGCAGCCAAATCCGCAAAAAAAACTTGTATGAAAACAACAGATTTTTGGAAGAGAAATTTAGCTGGCTACAATCTATACTGTGGAAAATAGCTTTATTTTTATTAAAATTCTGATATAAAAACTTTTAGTGAAACATGTTATGTTACAAACAACTAGCTTTGATTCTGTTTAAATAAATAAATTTGCATAAAAGACACATGTCCTTTAAGATTGCAATTTTCTGAAACACGGTATGTGAAAGTCAAACAAACCTATCCTTAGGTACTAGATCTTTGAATATGTAAAAACTCAGCTGTCTTGGGATTATCACTGTAACTCCAGCCATTTGGCACAAAGAGAATTTCACCTGGCTCCAGATGTATATGGAAGGAGGGAAGCCAACAGCAAGGATCAGGGAAATGCAAGAAGGCCAGGCAGGGGAACACTCTCCCCAAATTCTCCTCTGCCATTTGCAAAACGAAGGAAACCAGAAATCAAAGGGCACTGAAAAATAAATTTGACCCTTCTCTGTGATTAGTTGGAAAGCCTGAAGCTAAGAAAAATATAATCAAATTATAAAGGACTAATAATCCCGTCCTGAAGATTGAATGAATGGCCTTGGGCTTGAATTTAGGGGAAGGAGTGAGGAAAAGAAAGGTGAGAATCAGTGAAAAAAGTACAGATCTGTGTTGTTAAAATTATCAAGAAGTTATTTTTATTTTTTTGTGTGTGAATAATGTAAATTTAAATATTTCAATCAAGACTTATTTTTATTATTTAAAGACACTCGCGCTTTCCTCTCTATCCAAAACCCACCTGTAGCTGGAGCCTCAGCACTCTGGGCTGTGCTGTTCTCCTGCCACCTGGTGGAGCACATACCCTGGCGACTGCCAAGGGGTTGCCAAGCTCCAGGACTGAAGGGTCATCCAGTTCAGAAACTCGCTGTCTCATTACTATGAATAAGATTTCGATGATATTTGAAATTGATTAATTTCCCATAAATGATCTTAACGACTAAGAGGAAGAGTTTAGAGGATGGGCAGTGCCACTTCCAGGGAGGCTGTGCCAATTTATATGGTGACTCGGGGGTGGGGCACTGACTGCCTTATCTGTCCGAGGTTGCTTTCCAGCAAATGTGACAAGTCATTTGCCATGTCTTGCCATCGTGTAAAAATCCTTAGAAAAGAATTAAACCAGCACTTCAGGAAAAATCCGATCTTTATAGCAATGATGTTTATTCTCTGCGTTGTGAAATTCCATCTTAACTTGAATTAATCCAAAGGGATTGCTAACGGGCTTTGGAGTCAGCCACACTCGCGTGGGGACTCTAGCTCTACCGTTCACTAGCGATGAGATGTTGGGCAGGTGACACCCTCTTGGGGCTTTTACTTAAAATGAGGATAAGAATGCTTTGCTTGCAAGGTTGTCGAGCAGGGGTAAAGGTGTACGAAAGGCAATCAATAAATGATGGCAATTACTGCTACTATCAGTACTTCAAAAATACTGAAAGCAGCTCATTATATGTTGATATCCTCTAAGAGCAGGATTATCCCAAGGCTCCAGGGACACAAGCGTGGAAACCGAGCCGTCAACACAGACCATCTTGCTTTAGGTTTTAAGAACTCCTCTGCCAAGTTCTAAAAATCTGTCTCTCCTAAATTCTGACAGATGCAGTAAAACTGCAGCACGATGTGTTGGGCATAAACTGCTTTCAGTGTTTTGAGTTTTACAAATTTATATATGATGGAGTGAGATATCCATCATCTACACAGAATTCTACTGTTCCCAGAAGGGGCAGATAAATCTCAAGGCATATTACATTCCGGCCTGGATGACCTTTGAAGATGCGTATCTGCTTGAAAAAGGACAGAATAATCCCTCTTTACTGAAGAACATGCAGGTTTCTATTTCAAGTACACATTTGGTGAAAAATACCTATGGATACTTTGTTTTTGCCTCGTAGGCCATCTTCGCTTTCTCTGGGCTTGATCTCCTAATAGCCTAACAGAAACCGTCAGCCGGTTTGCGGCAGGTCTGCAAGTGCCTTCTGTCTGTCTGAAGCCCACATGAAATTATTTTCTCCATATTTGTTTTCCAAGGACATGCCCATATCCTACCTAAGCTTAGCAGAAACAGACAGCAGCAGCTGTCAACATTCGTGCTGTGATTAATGGTCTTAAGGAACAGTACTTCTCAGTAATTCCCGCTGTTTGTTTCAGTTTGCTTGGGAAAATTAGGATGCTTCGACTTAAATATTCCCAAGCGCCTACATTGCCAGCAGCACAATTCCACTTCTACAAACCTTTCCTGAGCACCTGACATCCTGGAGGTGTGATAACGGAAACCAGCAACCACGGGGTGGGGGGGGGTGGAGAGAGGGGGTGTGAGCGTGGGGAGGGGGGTGTGAGCGTGGAGAGGGAGAACAAAGAGGAAGGCCGAGAAACAAAGAATAAAAATGAAGACCACACAAAGTCACCTCCGCTGCCTTCCCTGGCTCTGCAGCTGTTTTCTGTCCATCTGACTCAACACATGGCTTTGCTGAACTTTATAGCCAGTGTCTTCCCTGCCCTGGATTGCAAAGGTGAAGCTACCGGAAATTCACCTGAATGCCGTGCAGGGATGGCCACCCGGCACTGAAAACTAAAGTCACACCTGTCCTCACATCCTGCCTTCAACACAAGCTTTTGGGTCCCAGGTCTTCTGAGGTTGTAAAACAGCATGAGAGGCTGGGTGGGCCGATCAGATGTGAGCACCACTAGGCTCGGAACAGACCATAAACATGAACACACACAACAACGATGCCCCCTCTGGGTTATGGGGTGGAGCGCAGCTCTAGCGCCCCTTGTCGAGACAGACCCGCCCACACAGCCCCTTTCCCAAGGCACCGCTGAACCTGTGATCAGAGTAGCTTACCTCCATCCCATAAATGTGTTCTGGATTTTTGATGACATGTGGTAGAATGAGAGAGGCTCCCCTTGCATTACTGTGGCCATGACCAGGAACCCTCCCGAACCCCCCGGAGGTCCTAGGGCCACCCCCATGCCCGAGACGATTGCAAAGCACAGGGGAGAACCTCGAGGGTGCACCTCAGGACGCAGAGCAGAAGGTGGGCAGCGCTGCTCTAGGGAGGGGGCTTCGCACACGGGCAAGACCCTGAGTGGAGCTGCCCACGGGGTCACAGACGTCCCAGCACGGCCAGGACCTCCCGCTGTCAGCAGCCAAGACGCCCCGTTCCCTACCCTAAGGGTTAGACAGCCTGTCCCTGATCTATCCTTCACTGTGTTCTGCAGATTTCTAATTAAAAAATAAATGAAAGAACAATCTTACCCGTGAGGAATTTTGCTCAGGACATAATATCCAGTATAGGAGTGTTGATATATCTGAAACAGACCAAAAAAAGAAAAAAAAAGAACAAGCATTGAGACAAAGGCTGTGACTATGGTATTTTTCAAATCACTGTGAATCCTGACAAACATCAGTGAACCAAAAGCAGCTAATCCGGACACCTGGAGGCCAAGTCTTTTATTTACTTAGGAAGTCATCTGCATATCCTGCTTATTTTATTTTTAGCATTTGCAATGGTTTATAGGGCAGCCAGCGGCTTGATGTCATCTCCATGGCTACCTGGTTTGTGATTAAATTAGGGGCACAGGCTTCCAGCTTCCCTAAATATAGCACAGCACTAATGAGGACGCCTTGGTCACTGGAGACCGACAGACGCAGCCAACTGGACCCCACAGGCCAGTAAGACCCAGGCACTGCTGGGGTTCCCTGCAAATCGTGGCAGGGGGCGCACAAGAAAGCCCACTGTGCGTCTTCAGTGGGTTGTGATGCTGAAGCCAGCTTAGGCTTCACTGGGCAAACTCTTGACCCTCTGACAATCTGATATGCACCTTTTAGTTTCCGAGGGAGGAGTCGACAAGAAGTCACTGCAAGAGGGCGGTTAGGAGTAGGATGGCTTTCAAAAGGGAAGCAAGGAAAAACCCAACACAGTGTTTCAAAACTCCTCCTAATCCCCAAATCTTGCATGTCTCTCTTGAACTCTTAAGCTAGAAGATTACTCCCCAATCCATAAATGCAATGACGAGAATTTGGGGGATGCCCGAAATGGGGAGAAGATGGCACTTCAGGACACGTTGGCATCGTTCTTCCCCAGCCTCCCAGTATGTGGACCGTGGTGGGTTACTCGGCAGGGCAGAAGTGACATCCGTACTTCGTGTCCCTTTGCTCCACCCGCAACTTCTGAGAGTTGGCGCCCTGTGTGGCTAAATGTTCCGTGACTAGCATTTGAAACCATCCCTGTAAAGCTAACAGGTGAGAGACCCGAGGCAAAGGAAGACACACCAGACTCAGAGTGCGTGGAGCGGGGAGGTGCGGTGGGGGGCCGACGCCGGAATGGGGCCTGCACGAGGAGACAGTGGGATCCCCGGACGCGGCTGCTTCCCTGCCTGTCTGGCCCACTGGATGAACTCTGAGAAAATCACAATGGACTTAGAGTTATTTGGAGAAAAAGAACCCAGATAGAAAAATAAACAGCAGCACTTAAGTCCCAGAGGGTTTGAGACTCCTGCGCCAGAAATTTGGGGCACAGGGTGACCTGCTTTGAAGGCAGCGTTTAGGCAAATGCTACTTTAGTAATCAGGAAATGGCCACCAAGGGACTGACTTGTGCGGGGGAGCTTCACGGAGCTCTCACGGCAGTCGGGGAGAAACACATGAACCTGACACAGGTCGCTGGAGGGATGAGTGGGGCTGCTTCCCCAAGAGAAGAAAGGAAGGGGCTGGGACCAGCTCCCGCGTCCTGAGTAGGTCGCTGCTCGGAGAGCACCCAACAAAGGACCCTGCGCTCTGCCTAAAGAATGCTCACGTGGGCTGGACCAGCTTCCTCAGATGCCAGGGCATGAGTACACAGGTCCGATCCATCTCTCCGTAGCTGGGGTGCGTGGTGATACTGTACGTGTTTATAAACTCCCCTCTGGAGCCAGCTTTGCATATTATTCATCCTGCTTTATTTTCACAGCAACTCAAGGCAGGAAGCAAAAAGCTTATCCTTTGTAAAAAAATAATCTTTATTTCAAAATATTAGGGGGGGACAAACGTTCTTGCTACATGGATGGACTGTATAACGCTGAAGTCAGGGCTTTTAGTGTGCCCGCCACCAGAACAGTGTTCATTGTATGTTTTTATCCCTCACCCCTCCCACCTCACCCCTTCTTAGTTTCTAATGTCCTTTTCACCTCTTTGTGGCCATGTGTACCCTTCATTTAGCTCCTAATTATTAGTGAGAACACGAGGTGTTTGTTTTTGCATTCTTAAGATACTTCACTGAGGATAATGCTCTCCAATTCCGAGTTGCAAATCTTACCTTTGTTAATACAAGAAACTGAGGTGTAGTAAGAGCAGAGGCAGATGGAGGAAAGAGAAAGGGGAGGGTGAGTGGAGGGAAGAGGAAGGCAGGGAGAGAAGGGTAGAGGGAGGAGGTGGAAATGGATCCTTTGTTCCAAGCCAAGCTCTCAGGGGACTGCAGCCCTGGCTGACCCTCGATGGCAGCCTCATGGGGGACCCTGAGTGAGAGCCACTCAGGTAAGATGGTACCGCGTTCCTGACCCACAGTAACCGTGAGATAATACATGTTGTCTTAAGCCACTGAGTTCTGGGGTAATTCCTTACACAGCAATAGGTAAAGAATATGGCTAATTTAAATCCAGAGTAAACAGATAATTATTAAATCAGATATAGATGAACTTATTCTGAGATAATGGTTTTCCTCCTGATAAACTTCCAGAAACTTCTAAAGCAAACAGATAAATTCCTGATCAAAACAACGTCAGGACAGAGAAGTGAGGGAGGGGCTGGGAGAGAGCACTCACAGACCAGAATGCTCAGAGCAAGACTTCGATGTCAGTGTGGCAGACAGTCCCAGGCACTGAGGACAGTGACAGTGGCTGGTGTTTGTGGCGCACACACTACCTGTCAGGTACTCTGCCGGCTCCTCAGCATACATGAATCATGTACTATTTGTGAGGTAGATATTATATCCCGTTTTTACACGTAGGAAAATTGAATCTTAAGGAATTTAAGTAAGCCCAAGTGAGATCTGATCTGAGGTCTGTCTCTCTCTCTCAACACTCTCTTAGAAATTGCCTGCACCAAGGGTATAACTTTAACTCGCAAGTTACCAGTCCAAGTTGATTGCTGCTAACTGAAGAATCCAGAATAGTAACAGACATAATGAATATGCAAAAGTAAGAACACACGCCAAAGCCTATTTCTTTACTCCACCTAAACACAGTGGTGTAAATTTATCCCCAGTTATGGCATCCCCCAAACACAGACCCAGACGAGTATCTCTGCATTACTCTTTAAATACAGCACTATGTGATCCTGGAATTCAGCTCTGTGACTCTCTTCTCAGTGGCACCCATGAGAAAGGGAAGCCCAATATAAAACAGCCCTACTGAGGCCACGGCAAGAAGAAGAGGATGAGAGAACTACCCATTTTGAATTCTATGTGTTGTCAGGCCAAGAAAAGCATGTATGCATGGGAAATGTAACAAAATATCTGGAAAACTGAATCACCAATTAGAAAGACTTAATCAAAAAATGAGTGAGTCGGAAAGGAAAGACAGAGAAAACTTGGGGAGCTGGTCGGCCAAGTGAGAGAGTGAAGGCAGCTCTCCCCAGTGGCTGCTGATGCAAGGGAAACCTTGAACGTGAGCCTGCAGGTGGGGCCCGGGTGCTGCCCACAGATAAGGGGAAGGGGGAAGAAGATGGAACGATTCTCCTGCTCCAGGAAGAAACAATGAAATATCATTGTCTTCCACAACTTTTTCCCTCAACACCAAGCCGAAAGAGCCACAGGCACAAAGGAAGCAACTGCTCAGAGAGCACAAATCGAAGAGTGTTCATTTGCACAATGTCTTGTCTTATCTAGATGGGCATTAAAAAAAACTGTATCTCACTGAAAGACTTTGTTCCTTAGAGATAAACTCTTTCTCCTTTTTTTGTGGTTACTGTTGTATTTATGTTGCTTTCTTTAAAATAGACTCTAAATACTTCTGTCATGGAACAAAGTACAAAGAGTTGGAAATTAATTAGTAAGGCTACATTCAGTTATTTTTTCAACACTGCATTTTTTAGAAGCTCATGAATATGAGTTCGTTGGTGTAATCCTACACCATTGTATTTCTCTTGGAAAATGAATATATGAAAACTTACTACCCCAAAGACTATTATTAATAAGATAGGAAAATAATTTCAGCAAATTATTTTTTCATATATCACACGCAAAATAGTTGACATTGGCATTGAATAATTATTTAAAAAGCCAAAGGTCTGATGCAGGGTAGGTTCGTATTTGGTCTGCTTCTCATCTCTGGGATTTCCCTCTGCTCAGAGCTCTTTCTCCGACCCCTCCCACACTTAACATCCCCCATGGCCTTTCCTCTCTCAGCACCATGACAGGCACTGAGCTTTTTCTAGGCCACCCATCTACTTGTTTGACATCCTCTTCCTCTATGAAATCATCTGTTCTTGAGGTTTTATGTTTTTGTTTTTTTTTAAATATTAAAGTACAAATGTTTTTGTTACATGGATACCTCGTATAATGCTTAAGTCAGGGCTTCTGCTGTGCCAGTCACCAGAACAGTGTTCATTGTACCCAATAGGTAAGTTTTTAACCCTCACCCCCTCACCATCCCCACTTCCTGGTTTCCAATGGCCTTTACATCTCTTTGTGCCCATGTGTACCCATCACTTAGCTCCCACTTATTAGTGAGAACATGTGGTGTCTGGTTTTCCATTTCTGAGATACTTCACTTAGGATAATGGTCTCCAATTCTATCCCAATTGCTGAAAAAGATACTATTTCATTCCTTTTTATGGCTGAGTAGCAAGCACTCCATGGTGTGTATGCATGCATATGTGTATGTGTATGTATGTGTATAATGTGTGTGTACCCCCACACCAAATTTTTCTTACCCACTGGTCAATTGATGGGCACTTAGGTTGATTCCACATCTTTGCAGTTGTGAATTGTGCTGTGATAAACACACACTGGTCGGAGCCAGGACCATTCATTGGCAGGTTGTTTAATTTCCATGACTTTGTGTTGATCTGAGTGTTTCACTTGGAATTGATTTCAGGTTTTATTCCACTAGGGTCTGAGAAGATCTATGGCATGATTTTGATTTTTTTTGAATTTGTTGAGACTTGTTTTGTGGCCTGAGATATGATCAATCTTGGAAAATGTCTTAGGTGCTGATGAGAAGAATATATGTTCAGTAGTTTTTTGAGTAGAATGTTGTGTAAACATCTGTTAGGTCCATTTGTTCATTTTCTGCTTTGATGATCTGACCAATTCTATTAGTGGGGTGTTAGAG